GTTTCAGTATCTTTTCTCTCTCCTTAACAACAACGTTGCAGTCAATTAAGCATGCTGTATTAGCGATTTGTGCTGCAGTTTTTGCTTTGATAATGAGCGGACGTCTTTCTCGGTATTTACTGATAGGTTCCAGAGTATTGTCACTCACTGAATCTCTTTAACCTCTTCCTTCTGATGTTTTTAGCATCTGCTACTGGTAAATCGGGTCGTTTGCACAAATGCCTGTGGACTGTCCTTGCAACTTTCTTATGTTTTTCCTTGTATGGTTCATGAGCGTTTCGCATCAGAAAATTATGTGGCTGAGGGTCTCATCTTTTCCTTCACTTGACACATTCAGCACTCTGCCCTGTGTAAATGTTCTTACCTTCGACGTTGCGGAGAGATTTTTGTGCCTCAGTGATGTCTTAAGCTATGTCGACTGAAGCTCTAGCTTCTGGTAGCTGCACCCGTGCTGGAGAGGCCACTCTAAGTGAGATGAATCATCTGTCCATTACAGTTTATCACCAAAAAATGTTCCTACAGCGGATTAGCTCCATCGATAATCGGTTAATACTGTAATGTATATCGGGTAGTTCCTGGTTTGTATATGAGCCGGGGTTTCTTAATCGGTAAAGGATCGAATTCAGAAGCGAGAGGGGCCAGGTTCGACCGCGTTCTTGGTCACTCGCTTTTCTTCCTTCCGAGGTTGATAATTAAGTATAATTCCGTGGAAGCGAAACAGGAGATTACGCACTTTGCTTGTCACATAGCTGTTGTCCTTCTGCCTCCTCGTTTAATGCATGGAAATGGACATCTGTGTGCCCCTATTAACTGCATGAAAAGAAGCGAAGAGTAGCGAATTTTCGTGGCTAGCCCTATCCCCATTTGCTTCATAGTTTTGTTTGGTTGGTGATAATGAATCGGTAATTGAATTGTGATTTATAACTACGGTTGTGTGTTTTCCGGTGGCTCGTCAATTTATCGTTTAATCAGTCGAATCGGTGCTTGGTCTCGGCTTCGGTCTTTAGTACCTCTTATCGAGCGAACGTTTTTTTCGCTCATTACAGCTGATGGCCTGAGATACGATGCCTCCGGAGGTTCGGAAAGTCTTCGATTCTCGTAATTTATTCGCTGAAAATGCTAATGTACTACGCGCCCGGCAGCGATAAATTGCTAATGGAGTTTTTGTTTATTTTTTTCTTGTTGCTCAAGTATGTTTTAATTTTTTAGAGTGAGAGCAGCGTGAAGTGGTTAATTATTTTTTAAAACCACCGGAGTACAGGACGGTTGAATGGCACGCGAACGGAAGGTTGCACTTTAGCTGCCGATGCCGCGAGGTTTTCACTCATTTTGAAAACGATTTTTATAAAAACTAATTAGCGGTTCCTCCTCGAGATGAGGTTTGCTTGGGAAACCGCATACACAAGAGATGGTTGGATCTGAGCACAGCGAGAAAAACTCCGAATAGGCCAAACGGAAGTTGTGTCTAAGAGAGCAGCAAAAACTATTGCCATAATGGAGTGGAATGAAAAACGAATAAAAATAGCACGCCTGTCGTCTGCCTACAGTTAGAGTCGGGCAGCAGCAGGCCTCGACATCACATGACTGACAGATGACCAGTGGGTTTCAGTAATGACCGCTTGGTATCCAAGGTGCTTTGGAAATCCCAGTTGGGGAATGTCAACTAATAATGAAATATGGGAGATTGTAACAACATATGAACGTGGCCATTGAGACTAGCAAATGATGCGCGATAATTTCCAAGAAAAGTCGGTCAGTTGTTGTTGTGAAAGTGGCAGTTAGTGTACATAGTTTGACAAAGGGATCCAGTGCGCTACCTTATACTCAAATTCGTGTCGTTAGAGTCGAGAACGTGAGCTATCAAATATCCATGGAAAACTTTGATTTCCACGAATGTCGTTCCGCCTCCTGTGACCGTGAGGTTGTTGGTATTTTGTGGACGTTTTAATCATTTTTTATTAGATAGATTTGAGATTACCTTTTTAAACTTGCGATAATCGGCTGCTCAT